CCTGCAATTGACACGAATGAAGTACAATATCGGGTACTAAGAACTAGGACATCCCCCAGGACACTGCATGAAACAGTGCGCACACTAAACGATTCACAACGGGCTGCCGTTACCAGTATAGGATTAGGGAGCCTGCTTGACATAAAAATAGACGGTGTCCCATCTCGTTTGGGTTTTTACGTTACTGTGAATATGAGGCTTAATGTTTGTCACGGTTCAATTCCACTTACAATAGCCTCAATTCATGAATTACTAGGCTTGCCGACTGGGGGGATTGACATACTTAGTACTCAATAAGACAAATTCGAGTCAAATCTTAACGGCATGTTTAGGAAGCAATTTGATAAGAAAAAGATGAGACCAAAGGATGTTATGAAACTTATCCAAGGTTCTGGAGATGCATCCAATGCATTCCAAATCAACTTCTTGGTCTTGTTCGTTAACTTGATGATAGATTGTAACCGCATGGGCTGTTGCAATCTTAGTTTTTTGTCTTCCATTAAGGATTTGAAACTGATACCCGAGATAGACTGGTGCAAATACCTTTATGATATGTTGCGAACGAGTAAGGAAAATTGGAGCAGATCAAGTGACGTATGTTTCTACGTTGGGCCACTTATTTGACTGTAAGTGTATTTACTCGATTATTTAGCATAAACTGTTTTTAATCCTAAGTCTAAACCTCTTTGATTTTACCTTTTAATCAGTTACTATATATTGAGTCAACAATATGGTCGGATCAAGTAGTTGACCACATGCGGCCAGCAACAATCGGATGGAGCTTCGACATGTTAAGAAAGTGGGAGGCTTGGGAGATAGCCAACGGAGGCCTAGGATCGGCTAAATTATTGGACGTGACAAGGGCGGTTGAAAGAGAGGTAATTATCTACCTTCTTTGAATTTCATTTAAACGTTTCGCACCGAGTAACCGAATAAAATTTATGTGGTAGTAGTACACGTTAACTAGAAGCGAAATGTATTAACAATCCATTTTTTTAGGTCACGCTGTATCATATGAACTTGTTTCACTGTTCATATGATATCATATGAACCTATATGAAACAGTTTCACATATATGAAACAAGTCCACTAATATCATACGAAACAGTTTAGTTAACATGAGTTAACTAAAATCAATGAAACTGTTTCACAACCTTTAGTTCACTTTTTCATTTCCCTACTTCATTAATGGTTCATTTCACTAGTTCCCTACAGTCACTGTATCATATGTAACTGTTTCATTGAACTTGTTCACTACTATAACTGTAATTTATATGAAACTGGTTCACTTCCATTAGTTTACATTGGTCAATGAAACTGTGTCACAACCTTTAATTCACTTTTTCATTTCACTACTTCATTAACGGTTCATTTCACTAGTTCCCTACTGTCACTGTATCATATGTAACTGGTTCATTGAACTTGTTCACTAGTATAACTGTAATTTATATGAAACTGGTTCACTTCCATTAGTTTACATTGGTCAATGAAACTGTTTCACAAACATCAAATTATCTTGTTCACCATGACAGTTCACTACTTTCACTGTATCATATGAAACTCGTTCTTATGAAACTGGTTCATTTGTTATTTATCTGTTCATTTCACATCAACTCTATACATATTGGACAGTTTAACATAAGACCGTATCATATTAAACTGGTTCTTATGAAACTGGTTCATTATAAACTCATTGTTCATTTCATAGCAAGTCCATACATATTGTATAGGTTAACATCAGACTGTTTCATGTTAAACTAGGGTCATATGAACCTATATCCTATGAAATTGGTTCACTATTCTAAACTGAAACATTTACGCAACAGCTAATATCACACAGTTTCGCTACTATGAGACTGTTAATATGTACACTGTTTTAATAAACATCTGACATTGTTTTAATAAACATCTGACACTGTTTCAATAATAATCCAACACTGTTCTCAATATGAACCTGTGTGATGAACCAGTTTAATTCTTATTAATGAATTAAAATTTGTATGTCTTCCTATGATGTGTAGGTGGAAATCAAGATGATCAAAGACATGATAGGTCATGTTCTTGATACAAGGCGTGAAATTGAACAGCGTCTCATTGCGTGCCAGGCCAAGTATCATGCGGATGAGGCTTTCAAAGCTCTTGCTAGTGATCTGAATGCCATATTCAGATCCTCTACGTAGAATGAGTAAGGTCAACAAGCTTTAAACGATAATGTAGACCCGACAGCTGTTGGTCCATCAAGCGATATATGTGTTGGTAAACGTGCCAACCATGAAACCCCGACTGATAATGACCTGAATCAGTCACCATTATCACAATATTGGCTCAGTCAAACATTGCACAAGATATGCGATGAAACAGTTGAGAAACCAATTTCTAGTAAAGAACAGAATGAGGCATTAGATTTACAGCCTCCACAATTCGACTTGGGAATCAGCCCGACAAAGACAGCAAAACCGTCTACCGTCACGAAGCCACCCTCAAAGGATAAAGGAAAAGGTGTCTGCATCGTTGATGATGCAAAGTTAAAAAAATCCAACCGCTTCATCGGATGGCATGGTGAAGACGATACCACCAAGCACCTGAAGTCAAAATACGTTACAGCTTCTCGGCGGAGTGTTCACTTGGGAGATCACCTTAGATCACCTTTCGTAAGGCGGGCTATAGACATGAAGGTAAGTGCAGAAGATAGGCGTATACACGAGTGGGCGCTCGCAGAAATTGGATCAACCTTGTAAGAATATGTTTTTACTAAATATTCACTGTATTACATTGTTACCAAATGCGCTTACTAACACATTATCAATGACATATGATTCGACTAATATGAGTATGCTTACGTTGCAAATCTGTAGTGACATTGTATTCGAATTAGAGAATTCCACGAACATATTGCGGGGGAATTTGGCAAGTCTAGTATCCAAATCAATTGTCTACACAAATGTTATAGATGGATGGGCTGAATTGTTAAACATGGAGGAAATGTATAGAAGCCGTGACTCACCTCGTTGTTGTTTTTTTAATACAATTGTATTGGTAAGATTTATAAGATTAATGAAGTTATTTCTTATGAAACAGAACATGATTTCATGAATGCTATCTGACTACATGATTACCATACAGGGATATCCGAAGCTAAGGACTCAGCAGGCAGATTTTAATGTTCAGAATGACAATTTCAGCAATTACCTAGCAAAATCAGTTTGTTTCGACATGGAAGTTATTAAAATGCGAAATATGGATATGGTATGCTCAACATTTACATTTTTTTGCATTTAAAATTAGGTACACATTTATTTTTCACATGACATTACGTAACAGTTAAACACACACAGGCTTTCTTCCCTATTATGGATTGTGGTCACTACTACACGGTGGTGTTTAACTTCAAGAACCCATCAATTGTTGTAATAGACAACCGATTTTGGAAAAGACGTTAGATCGAAGACGATATGGGTTTGTATGAACACGTTGTCGACTTATTAGTAAGTATACTAACTGGACAATCACTCTTATACTTGAATTTTCTTCCCGAATTACATTTTACAATTGATTATTTCTTTGTCCAGCATCGCCTTATGATCAAGCATCTAAGAGTTGTAGGCCATCCTAGCTGGCAATAAATAGATGAAACGGGTCATGACCTCTTGGAAATGAGTTGGCAAACAAAAGACAATTTTGAGGATGGAGGTGTGTACTTGATGAGGCATATGGAAACTTGTATGGGAGATGAAAGATCATGGAAGACCGGGTTCACTACAGAAGGGCCGAATCAAAGAACCCAGCTAACTGATCTGAGGAAGAAATACATGGCAAAGTTAGTACTCATCAACTTCAGCAAAAGAAGGGAGTCAATCGTGAAAGAGGTTGATCAGTTTCATGCAATGGATCCCGAAGACAAAAAGAAAGCAATAGAACAAGCAAAAGCAACAAAGAGATCTGCCATAGGCGTTACCATTTAATCATAGCAATCCATGGATTTAGCGTTGGTTCACTAACGATACTTTTTTTGGGTTATATTTGGAGGTTATAACATGAATTTTATAGTGTTTTTTAGTATTCAATTATGCGTTGTTCATTTTGATTTGACTAAACTGATGTGGTCTTTACAAGTACTCAAAAATTTGCTAAGCAACATAATGCTTAATCTTGTTTCCATTACAATCAACCGTATTTTTAGTGCGTGCTCGTCGTACTTGTGTTCTATCTCTTCATCGTGAAACTATTTCATGTTACTCAACCTTCCACAATTCAATACTACAATGAAACATTATCATTGCAGAGAATGATACTATTAATCAAACGCGTCACTACCGAATTCACTAGGAATGATAAGAAATCATACATCATTTCAATTGCATCGTCCCAAACAAACTTCATTTTCATGATAACATTTTCATGCCTATCATGAATGGACATTGTTTCACCGTTGGCCTAGTAAACCAATTTTCCTTCACACTGAAGTTTATATACAGCAACCATAACTATAGCCGTTTGTATGCACCTGTTTCACATTTACTTTTCTGAACACTATATATATGTACATTATGCAAAATACCAATTAGTTGGACTCCATATGTAGATGCATCCAAGTCATCCGAAGTGCATTTTAAAGTCTTCCATATTATTTCATTTTTACATTATGTCATTACATGTTTTCACTTTTTCTATTCCACTGAACATTTATTGGTCAGATAATTTACATACTGCTTACACTTAAATGTTTCTAGGGTAGAAGGTAACTACGTTAGAAAAAAAAAAGTAAAATTCAAACAAATTCCATCCAAAATAATTTTCTTCATGATGGACATGTCTCATTACCACCTTCATCGTATCCCAATCTAAACGTTTTCACAACCATTACATGAACATGCTCATCCCAAAAAATTTAGGAGCCGGCAGAATTTCATCAATAACCGTTACTAGCTAAGATAAAACAAATGAAACAAAAAACAACGTTCCTCACAAATCAAACAATTATAATTCGAACACCTAAACCGTTATTTGGTACTATCGCCCTGCGACGGACAGTTGCGGGAATCATGCCACCCCATTTTATCACAAGTTCTACACAATCTTTTCGGCTTCTTTGCATTCATGGATATCCTCTCTGACATACCAACAAGACGCTTTCCGGTTCCACAACCTTTATTACGTATTTCTGTTGGTGGTAAGACATCAACCGATTCAGGTTCGGAAACACATAAGAACTCCTGAATATCATTTCTCTTCTGCTCAGTACCTGTCAATATTGGAATGTCCATCGAAATTTCATCACCCAATCGTTCCAATCGCTCCACAAACTCTGTCAACGCTCCCTTGTCATTCCGTACACGCCCAATAATAAGATCAAACATTGATATAGCCTGGTTGATCAAAGCTTGTTTCTCAACATCCATTTCACCATACCTAACACGAGCCGACAACAACTCAATGGGAACTAACTCTCGTCTCCATCGCGGCAAGATGTATTTTTCGGGAATAGATTGCACCTCAGAATTTAACATTACCATAAACGCGTGGCGACAAAATATATACCATTGCGAACAAAATGGTTGCAACTACAATCAAAAGAATCATCCCTTACATCATGAACCACCTAGCATATCATACATAAAGGAAGATAAATTATAAATAATTAATAGGATATGCGATTGTAATCAATTATTTGTGAAAATGAAATCAAAAAATTGATCAACACCTTGTACGTAGCTTTAACCTCAGAATTCTTGTTCTTATGTGTAATACTGTAAATCCTCTTATCACCGACCTCTATTACTTCGACAACCCCACAATACCATATTGCCTTGTTCATTTCCTTTTGCACCTCAAAAAACATTGTTTTTGTGTACACTTTTGCTGCTTGCGCTTCAATTTTGGACGGTGACAACAATTTAGGTATTGTAGTTCTACTTGCAACCTCAAGGGAACAATGTTCTTTCCTTTGAATTTCGATTGCATCGTCGAAAGTGTTAAGAAAATAAACAAGATCATTCCAATACTTCGTATAAACATTAAAAAATGAATTAATACTCTCAGACCTGGAAGTGGTTTTCATAAGACCAGACATTGGGTAGTCCTTGAAGTAGGCTGGAATCCAAGATTCTCTTATTGCATACATTTCTTCAAACCACGAGTGACGCCGTAGTCCAAACTCATCCATCAATGCATTCCATTTCTCCTCAAAAATTTCGGGACTTATGTGTACATTCCATACGAGTTTGTTGAACTTGCTTTTGAACGGGGTCCCATGGGCTAAATGATCACGGATCTTCACAATGAAACAAGCACACAATCAAACAATTGGCAAACCATTTTTTTCATATTACTCATTCTTAAGATTTTTTTGTGATGAAACGCGTAGTAAACAAACTTATGTATGCATATATTAGAATTATCCCCAATGGATGAAATTAGACATACCTTTTCCTTCACTTTCTTTGTTATATGCCACATACACAATCGATGAGTAGCTTCTGAAAAAACTATAGGTATCGCTTGTTTCATTGCTGCACATTGATCGGTTATTACAAACTGCGGCTAACTACCGTGGGCTTTCATAAACGCCTTCAATACCCAAGTGAAATTAACGATCGATTCATTTCTAATCAATGAAGCACCAACCACAACGGACTTCTTGTGATTGTCAATTGCAACAAATGGTACAAAAATCATTGCATGCCTGTTAAGATGGGAAAGAATCATATTAATCTTTCATTGGATATAAGTAAAACAATTTATAACAAATAATTTAAGACAGCTTACTTGTTTGTCTGAAATGTAGCGTCAAATGATATGGTGTCTCCAAAATGTTTGTAATTCATTCTTGCTGTTTCATCTGCCCAAAAAATTGCAATCAACTCCTTCTCATCACACTCATATTCAAAAAAATATTCCGGGCAATGTTCCCGCCGTTTGTTCATCTTGTTTATTAGCATTTGTGCATCTTTGTTACCAATGAATAGCGTAATGTCTCTTCTAAAGTTCATATGATCCCTAGTTGTCCCACCAGATGATACTAAACCTCTGTTAATTGCCAATTGCATCCTGCGTGATTGAGTGATACCAACTTTAGAGCTTGATGCGTGGTAAACATTTTTACGATCCTTGTAGTCAAGTTGGCGTCTTGAACGGGTGAACAACTTTTCATCCGAACGACAAAGCATATGATTATGAGCCTCAATGAAATGATAAACCTCGTACCGGCCACTCTCTTTGACATAGTGTACCTTAAGGCAAGCTTTACAAACAGTACGTTTGAAATTTGTATTACGTCTTCTCCTCTCACCCGATGAAACTTCTAAAGAATCAAATTCCTTTTTGGATGGAATACCCTCCTTGCTACAAACAAAAAAACGTGTTTGCACTCCACCCAACGAGTTCATTTTTTTGCTGGCCAGTCGGATATCAAACCCAGCAACGTCTGCGTATTTCCTATACATATTTTCTACGGAATCAACCGATGAAAAGAATTCACCAACCTTTGGACAAATATTGCCATCAACTTTAGGAATCCATAACTCGTGCCCCTGGTGATTCCCCCATTTTTGTGATAAAGCATCTAACAAGTCCAAGTAGAGAATAAAATAATAGTTATAATTATAATTATGATTATGAACACGCTTGATATGTTACATTATACCATTTCAAGTTCATGGAATTTGTTTCATAGTAGATGTACTTATAAACATATATATATATATATATATATATGTATGCAATATATCCAAGTTTATGAAGTTCGTTGCATAGTATGTGTATTTTCCACGTTTATGAAACGATTTCATTCTACAATGGTTACACTACAAACTACTTAAATGGTATGAAATAAGTTTCATCCTGTATCAGCACTTATCATATTGTGATTCAACTAATTCATCATCCTTCCTGTCTAATATTGTACTTAAAGATATAAAATAGAATGTCAACGTCATCTAATGAAACTAATTCATTATGATATCTTGTTCATTAATTTACAGCAAAAAGATAACCATACCCTCACATCATACAAACTGATGAATACAAATACTCGTACTATGAAACGTTTTCAATTCTATCAAAAAGGACGAACATTGTACGAACATTCATACCATGGAATGTACATCTACATAGGAATTAAAATGCAAATGATATACCATAGCACACATCTTCAGTTGCATCAACGTTAGTGCAAATGTCAGGCATTTCATTCGAACTAATACCTTCTCCCTGTTCATTCATTGTCGTAGAATAAAGTATTTTTCTCAGGATTAAACGATATGAATAGATGTAATATCCATGCATTGAAATACAATGAATTCATAGTATTTTTATATTCAAGGAAACAATATCCTTCATATCATGTTATTAATGACATTATTTTCATTTTCTAAAGCAATATATTATTTTTCACTTTAAATCACATCCATCAATAAAACATATTAAAAAATGAATATAACACACCATATTCAATTATATGGATTGAATCGTTTTAAATTTTCAAGTACATTATATGAACGACATTGGTTTCAAAATTTAATCAACAGAATAATCCACGTAATACTGATTATATTTCGTAATTTTCAATGTACTGGTAGATGAATTCGTTACACTTAGATAACGATTTTTTTTCATCGATTACTGACTTCATAAAAGTTTATAATACAACATAAAATTGTTTCACTAATGCAACAATTTCACTTATCAGGATCAATACTGCCATGACCCAGTTTCACCTTATTCATTTTTCACTAATTTATCGTGAAATTATTTCATGAGGAATCGCCTTTTCTATGCAACGGTTTCATTTACCATTTCAACTACTAAACCATTCACCTACACCATCACTATTCATGCCTTAAATCTGTTCATGACTTATTGTTAAATTAGGTCATGAACCAGTTTTCTTGTCATTAAAACGTTACATCTACTGAACGGATCGACTTACGATACATCTACGTCATGAACCAGTTTCCTTGCACTTTCATGAACTTGTTTCATTAACCTTTAACCTGTTATTTCAGTTAAGATTCGATGCATTCTTTTCTTTAATTCTCACAATCTTCAAGAATCATGAGCATATTACAATCTTCAAAGATTCCGAAGCTAAATCATCATGAATCCGTTTCATCATACATTTATTTCATAAAGAACAAAATACATTATGCATCCGTTTCATTTTAATTTTACCAAATAAACGGATCAACTCCATCATAAATGACACGTGGATCACCATTAAACTAGATCAATAGTCATGAATCAATTAGAACATGAACATGTTTCACCATCATGAACCTGTTTCATTACTATGGACAATATGTCTAGAGTATTAATATGAACCATTTTATAATGAAACCTTTCACATTGAAACAGTTTCATGAACATGGAAATTTTTAATTTCAACCTCAAATCAAGATTTCATTCCATAAGGTGATCGAATCTTCAGAACACGTTTCCAGATTCATTGAATAACAATATTTTAAAATCAAATTTTTAATATTATATTATAATAAAATATTTAGATGTTACCATTTATACAATTTCCTTTATTACGTTTTCTTATTTAATATTTATTAATAACTTCCATATTTAATATAACAATATTGTAAATGACTGAAATACCCTTATTGATTAAATTTAATTAAAAAAATAGAATTTTCCTATTGGTTGAAATTGATTTACACGGTTTCTTAGAAATGCATAGTTTTCATTTAAACGTGCCCCTATATATATATATATATATATAATATATATATATTTTTTTTTTTAAAAGAGAAACCAAATAGAATGATTTAACACTATGAGATTTGAGTATTCCTCAAATCTTGAAATACGATTAAATTTGCTTATCCCATATTGGTGGGGAAAAAAAGAAAGTATAAGTAATGAAATATGTATATATATGAAAATAGAAGGTGATTTTTTTGTTGCAAGTCATGATATTGGCTCAAATGAGGCAACTTTTTCGTTTGCAATTGTCATTATGAGATTTGAGTATATTTATTAATTCTTGAAATGTGGTTAAGTTTGTTTATTCCACATAAAAAAGATGACTTTAAAATATTGAGATGACATCTTGAGAGTGATGTTTTCTAAAATCTTGCATTCTGCTCGGTTTTTGGAAATCACACATTGATGAACAAATGATACATTAATAGAGTATCATATATATATATATATATATATATATATATATATATATATATAT